ATCTACATTGGAAATAATTTATCATACTTGGAGTGGCCCTAAAGAATCACCAGGAGTTTGAAGAGCTTTTGGGGTCTACGCTCATTAGAATTCATCTGTGACAAAAAAGATCCAAGAACTTAAGAGCCCCCTGCTCCACCCAAGCAAGAGGGACCTAGGATAGAGAAGGTGGAAAAAGAAGAAGATAAGGGGGCAGAAATGCAGGCAAGAATATATAACACCAACCAAGAGAGTGTGCATCAGCACTTTAGGAAGTGCTCATGCCAAATGATGTCAACAGCCCTTGGGATTTTGAGCAGAGTCCAAGAGCTGTGTCATGAACAGCTGAGTCCAGACGTTTACAGAGAAGAGCAGGTACCGGCACTGCTGACGCTGTGGCGGTTCTGACCATTCCGCCAGAGGATGCCAGAGTCCTGGGGGACCTCACCCAGCAGGTGCAGGGGGAGCTGTGGGGAGATGCTGGGTGATGAGGGGCACCAGATGAGAAGCAGGCAATTGAGCCCGTGGAGAGCTGGGGGCCTGGGAGCAGGGGCCTCAGACCACCAAGCTAGAGCAACGTACCCAGTCCCAGCGGTGGGAGAAGAGATGCTAAAACAGTCTGTGCCAGGCTGGACTGATTGACTCCCTCAGAGCTTGCCCTGCAGCTCACTGCCCTTGGACGTTAATGAACGATTCTGACTTCATTTTCTTTCTCCTTATGTCCTTGGAGATACTGTGTTTTCTTCTAGAGTTTTCACTACAGTTCTGTGCTGATTCCTTAACAGGCCCAACATAACCTATCCATTTACAAGTCAGTCTATGCATGGACAAGAAACTGTTTCTTCTAGAAGGGGCTCACATGGCATCAAGAATGTGTCCCAAGCCACTGGAAACAAGTATTTCAAGACCCCCTGGCTCTAACTAAGTTAAGGAACATGCCGAAGGGCCCACACAAGCAAATGCAGGGAGGGTCTGAATCAAGTCTAACTCATGCTCTTTGTTCCCAGACTAGCGGCCACTTCCACTTGTGTCTCAGCAGCTGACACTCTGACTCAGCTGTCCCCAGACATTTTTCCTGGAAGTGCAGGAGCTGAAAGGGAACTTCGAGGTCACCCACTCCAACCTTCCACTTCACTGAGGAAGAGGTGGCGACGTGGACCAGGTCAGTGGCCTGACCATGGCCATGCTGCTGTCAATCACACTGTCCTCGTCCCGGTCTCTGGACACCCTTCTTGTCTGCTCTCAGTCATGTGTCCCCGCCTAATGGCTGTTGTTGGAGGACTGCTCTCCTATCGGGAGGCTTGGACCATTCTGTGGATCTAACCCCAGCCCAGGGTACAGGGAACTTGTCTCCAGCTCACCATCTCACTGTCTGACCCAGAAAGCTTTTTTATTAATAATGGTTCATCTCGGACCATCAGTGCAATGACTGCTTCTCTGACTCTCAAGCTGGAGTGCTTGGCACTGACCGTGACCTTCTTTTACTCCATCTGTGGTTTTCCCCAGTACCCTTCTCTTTTGCAAGAGGAGGGGATGAAGATGGCAGCCTGGACTCGGAGCTTGACTTTCTCTGACTTGGAACTCCCAAGTCTGCCTAGCAGCTCTGGACTCCAGATCATGCCAGGATAGAAGGAGGTCAGGGACTACGGCCAATCCCTGGGATGTCACCTGTCCTCGCCTTTTTTAAGGTGATGGCGCCTCCCCCTATTTGTGGATACGTGGGCAGATTTGAAGCCAGTGCCCTCAAGAATGTGTGCTCTTAGAGGTGAGGGTATAGCTCAAGTGGTAGAGTGCATGCTTAGCACGCATGAGGTCCTGGGTTCAATCCCCAGTACCTCCCCCCAAAATAAATAAACTCAGTTACCTTCCCCCTAATTAAATAACACAGTAATAAATAAAATTTTTTTTTAATGTGTGCTCTTAAAGCCTCCCTGACAGGACCCAACCAAACCGGAATTACTTGGTCTTTGCTTAACTACTCAACAAGTTATTTTACACTATAGTATTTTTTGTGCCTTAACAAGACCCGCCAATTATTTCACATGTGAAAGGGACTAAATAATCCAAGAAAAAGACTGTCAGATGGGATAAAGGGGAAAATAATAAAACTCTATGTAACTTCCAAAAGAGACTATCTAAATATATGGAGACAGAATGATTAAAGGATGAGAAAAGACAGACTATACACACCCTAGCAAGAAGAAATCAGGTGTATCTATACAGTATCAAGTAAGACTTCACGGCAAGAACCGTTACTAGACATAAAGAAATATCATCATGGGTCAATCCAACAAGAAGACATTAAGTCACAAATCAGTACGTACTCAATGACATAACTTCAAAATACATAAGGCAAAAATTAAGCAACTCAGAGAAAGAGACACCCACAACCACAGTGAAAGACTAATGACACATCTTCCTCGATAGTTTATACCACAAGCAGCCGACAGACCAGCAAGGATACAGAAGAAGAAACACACAGTTAACAAACGTGACCTGGTTGTTACACAGAGAATTCTGTACCCAACAATCACAGAATTTACATTCTTAAGTGGAAACAGCTACCAGAATTGACCACATGTGGATTATAAGGAAAGCCTCAACACATTGCAAAACGTTGAAATCTTTCAGAGAATGTTATTTGACCACAATGGAATTAAGCTTAGAAATGAATAATAAAAAGATTATATTCATCCCCTGGAAATTTTAAAATATGTTTCTAAATAAACCATAAATTAAAGAAAAAGTTCAAACAGATATTTTGAACTGAATGATAATAAAGACATAACTTATAAAAACTCACAATATGCAGATAATGGGGTGCATAGAGGGAAATTTATAACCTTAAAAATGTACATATTAGAAAAATGGAAAGGCTGAAAATCAGTGATATAGTCTTCTATCTAGAAAACTTACTAAAGAATAGCAAATTAAATATAAGGAAAATAGAAGGAAGTGAACAAGATTATAAACAGTGAGGTAGGACACAAACATACAGTAGAGAGAAATCAACAAAATCAAAAGTTGGTTCTTTGAAAATGTCTTTAATTGGTAAACAATACTGTCCAATGAAAACAAAAGAGAAAACACAGATTCCCACTATTAGAAATGAAAAAGGGTGTCACTACAGACCCTACAGACATTAAAAGGATTAGTAAACAAATATTATTTCTTTAACTTTATACAAGGAGTTTGACATTTTCGATGAAATGGGAAAATTTCTTGAAAAATGCAACTTCCCAAAGCCCACCAAAGAAAATGAAAAATTGAGTATCTAACATCTAATAACATCTAACTAAATTGCATCTGTTACTCAAGAACTTCCCACAAAGAAAACGCTAAGCCTGGATGGTTTCACCAGTTAATTCTTGCAAATATTCAAGTAATACCGATCTTTCACAAACGCTTCCCGGGAATAGAAAAAGAGTATGTGGCCAACGTAACCTTGATAGAAAATTGGACTGGGATAGTACAAGGAGGAAAAATTACTAGCCACTCTCTCAAGTCATGATATAATAAAAAAATAAATAAATATTTGGCCTTTGTCTTGGCGCCCAGCTCTGAATCCCTCGGGAGTTCAGGACAACAGGAGTGTCCTTTGTATGCTGTTGAGATGACTGGTGACTGGAGGCCCTTAGGGCTGGTCATCAGAAAGAAAGAGGCTTGATTAGAGGACTGGAACTTCCAGCCCCAACCTCCAAACTCTAGGGAGGGGAAAGGGATGGAGATTGAACTAATCACCAGTGGCCAATGACACAGTCAGTCATGTCTACATAAGGAGACCGCCATAAAACCCCCTAAATGACAGGGTTCAGAGAGCTTCTGGGTTGGTGAGCACAAGGTTCTGGGAGGCTGACTTGCCTGGAGAGAGTATGGAAGCTCCCAGCACACCCCCAGCCCCATATCTTGCTTTGTGTCTCTCTTCCATTTGCCTATTACTGAACTGAGGTTTTTGTAATAAACTGGTAATAGTAAGTAAAGCGCTTTGCTGAATTCTGTGAATTGGAAAATTATGGAAAAATGTGGGGGGGGCGGGGTACGTGGAAGCCCCCAATTTATAGCCAGTTGGCCAGAAGTACTTGACCTAGACTTGGGACTGGTGTCTGAAGTGGGGGTGGTCTTGTGAGACTGAGCCCTTAAACCTACCTCCAGGTAGTCAGTGTGGCCAAAAACAACAACAGCAAAAAGGTTGCATGCCATTTCAGTAAACAAAGGTTGTTGCCCGCCCACCATCAAGCCATCAGCCACTGCAGCCAGCGATGAGGTGCCCTGAGGGGAATTCAGGAAGGAGAGAAACAGGATGCTGGCCCCAGGTAGTTAAGATGCTCATCAAAGGAGTAATTTCAATAAGCCCAGACCCTTGCATCTTCCCATACATAGAAAAGCACTAACGTCTACAACTTGACATACCTGTTTTTTGTGACTGGCAGTAATCTTTTGATGTCTGACCACACGGTTTTCTGTGTGGGGTTTTTTGGTTTTTGTTTTTTCAGCAAAAACTCCTATACATCCTGACTCATCCTCATCTCTTTGGAACAATCCCTCAGAACTACCTGAGAGGCCGTCTCCCAGGCCATGGCCCAGGTCGTAGGCCTCAGTAAGGCCCCCAGATAAAACATAACTTGCAACTTTTAGGTTGTGGGCTTTTTTCAGTCAACAGCGTCAAAATTAAGTTGAATTGTTAGACACCCAGTTGGTCAAAGGACTGAAGAATTGGTTGGTGTCAGAAGAGGGGAAAAAACCTTTACTCATGAATATAGAAGCAAAACCCTAAATAAATTATTAGCAAATGGAATCAAGCATTCAGCTAGGGTTTATTCCAGGAATGCAAGAGGGATTCAATATTCTAAAATCAAAGTAAGTCATCACATTAGTAGAAAAAAATAAAATCATAAACCATCTTGACACACACATAAAAATGATGACCTCACAGAAAGTGGTTTTAAGAAGTCAGATCAGATTCCTCCCTCTGAGTCCTATCCCTCCAGTTTCTAGGAGAAAACTACAGTCTTGTTTCATGCCTGGTCTGAGCCACAGGAGCAAGGGCCCCTGATTATAGGACCCTCTGGCTTTGCACTTTGACCCCCATCTCTGATTCTCCATGTCTTTTACTGATGCTTCAATCTGCAAGACAAAACAGAAGGAGGCTGGCCTGCAGGTACTACTGAACAATTAATTATTGTAACAGGCACTCTGCCAGGTCCTAGAAAAACAAATATGAATCAAGGTCCTGGAAGATTAAGTAACTCAAAACTACAGATCTAAACTGTTCTTAGACACAATGAACAGTACACATAAGTAAATTTAAAAAATACATGTGCAGTATATTGTATATATGTATTTACATGCAATATATTGTAAATGTGCAGTCAAACTGTATCAATTTTACCTAATAAAACTGAAAAATAAAAAAAAAGATTAAGTAACTCATCAAAAGTCCCTCTCTAATAAATGGCAGGGCTGAGATGTGAACCTAGTCAGTCTGGTTCCCGAATTCATACTCTTAATCATTCTGTGTCACTGATTCTACTCGTGCATAACTAACTGTAATACTAAGCATTAAGTGACAAACTGATATAAGTTACACATACTGTGGATGTGCAAAGGAAAGAGATTCATTTAACTGGAGGTGGGTCGGCTCTAGAAGGCTTTTAAGAAGTAGCATTTAAACTGGAACTTATAAGATAAAGAATTTAACCAGTAGAACATGAGAGTGTATTAGTCAGGACAGGCTGGGTTATGCTGCCGTAACAAAAGGTTTAACACAACAAAGATTTATTTCTCTTATGCAAATGCTAGTTCAAGTGGGCAGTGTCTGGGGCACACCCTCAATGTCAGGCTTCAGGGATGCAGGCTGCTGCCATCCGTGGTCCCTCCTTCCATCACATGCCTTCATAATCAATACGCAGGGAAGGCACCAAAATGTGGAGCATTCACACATGCCTTTCAGTGCTTTCAGCCTGGAAGGCACACACATCACTTCTGCTTGGAGCCTATTCATTCTGCGACAACACACAGAATATTGTGAGAGGTTTTTTTGCCTCTGCCACAGAGGAAAGGGGCATTTCAGAATGAAGAGCTAACACATGCAAAGGCGTGGGAGGATTAAAAATGCTTATGTGCACAAGAAGAGCAAAGAGACTTAGGACCCAACTGGCCTCGAATGTCATTCCATAGGCGTATTAGTTTGCTCCAGCTGCCATAACAAAATAGCACAGGCTGGTGGCTTAGACATCAGAAATTTATTTTCTCACAGGTCCAAGATTAGGGCGCCAGCAGGGCTGGTTTCTCCTGAGGCCTCTCCCCTTGGTGTGCGGATGGCCATCCCTCTGCCCACATGCCCCTGGTGTTTCTTTGTGTGTCTTAATCTCTTCTCATAAGGACACGAGTCAGATTGGTGTAGGGCCCAACCTAATGGCATCATCTCACCCTAATCATCTTTTGAAAGGCTTTATCTCTGTTAAGGACTTCCTGTTTGTGTCTTCCCCAAATTCATACATTGAAGCCCTAACACCCAACGTGACTGTACTTAGAGGTGGGGCCCCGAGGAAGTAATTAAGGTTAAATGAGGCCGTAAGGATGGGGCCTTGATCTGAGAGGATTAATGCTTATAAGAAGAGACACCAGAGAGTCTGCTCTCTCCCTCTCTTCCTGGGAATCCTCAAAGGGGTCCTGTGAGGACACAGAGATGCCTCAGAATGAAACTGACCTTGCTGGCATCTTGACCTTGAACTTCCCAGCTTCCAGAATTGTGAGAAAAATTTCTTTTGTTGAAGCCACCCAGCGGGTCAGTACCCTGTTATGGCAGCCTGAACAGACTAAGACAATCTCGGACTGCAGTCCCAGTCTGAGATGCTGGGGGTGAGGGCTTCAGCACATGAATGGGGGGGCGGGGCGGGGAGACACAAGTCACCCCTTCACGACAGGCAAGTGGAAGCTGGCAGGGAGGAATGCCGTCGTCGCTTGCCTCGTTTCATAAGGTAACAGAAGGTGACAAAGAGAAGAGCATTCAGACGTAGGAACCCAGAGAGCTAGTGATGGTGACAGTTCAGGCAGTAGCAGTGAGGACAAGAGAGGACGGAGACTGGGAGCACTGGAGGCCGGGACGCTTGTCCTTGGCGACGGGATATGCTTTGGTGAGGGGACAAGAACGTGAGGGCCAGGTTTCCAGCCTCCCTGTCAAGCAAATGGTGGCATCAGTGTTCAACGCAGGAAACACAAAAGCAGCAGCCTGTTTTGGAAGAGGAAGACTTGAGTTTGCACCCTGTGGCTGGACCGCGCACACAGAAATGGCTAGGGGACGACCAGAAATACAGCCCAAGCTCTGGGCAGTGAGGAAAGGGAGCCAGGGTTGAGGGCACAGCATAAGCAGAGGGACAGGGCAAGAAATAGCAGGGTGTGTGCAGGCAGCCACAGTCGGAACAAAGGTCTCTCCTCGCCGGGTGCCCCAGGCCTTCCCGCCCTCCTCACAGCCACTTCCACCCAGAGGGCCCCTCAGATGCACCCAATGCCCTGACTCCTGCCAACCAAATCCAGAGCCATCCAAACCAACTTCTTCCTATTAATTCCACTGCTTCAATCTGGCTATTTTCCCACAGTTTGTCTAATTCTATGTAACACTGTAGAAACCCTTAGTTCACAAAGTCCTTTCACAGGCATGAAGGTATCTGTGGCCTGAATGGGACACTGGTCTTCCCAGCCTCAGGGACACTTTCTAGGTCTGCTGTGTGGCCCTAGGCCAGTCATTTAACCTCTCTGAACCCCAGTATTTTCATCCACTGGGTTGGGCAAATGTAATATCCACTCCATCTATTTAAAAAAGTAGTTGTGAAGGTCAAATGAAAATATTGTTATGTCATCTCTAAGGGAATAGAGGAACAGTGACATCTGGGGTGGGAGTGCCCATGCCAGAAGTTATTGTCACATCATGTCCTTTAGGGATCAATGAATAAGACTATGGAAGAAACACTCAAACACTCAAAGACAACCTAATCCAAAAAGAGAGATTTAATTGAATGCTTCTTGTGGGTCCAATTCTACAACTGCTACCAGTAAACAACACAATCTTTGTTCTCCGGATGCTGAGGCAGTAAAGTACGTAGACAGGTAGAGATTAACACAGCACAGGATAATGCGTGTCCCAGGTGGACTGCACAGATCCAAACTACACAGGAGCCCGAAGGAAGCAGAGATCTTCTGGACAGTCAAGGAATGCTTCCTGGAGGAAGTGGACTTTGAAGGGAGCTTATGGTATGGGCAGGCAGAGAGGGAGGTGCATACGGACCTGGCTTCCTTGGAGGGGAAGCATCGTGCAAGGGAGCCCTGAACTGGAGAAACCTTACCCAACCCCCTCCATTCCGCCAGCTCCTGAAGCTGGAAAGCTCCCACCTTCCCAACAAAGGAAGCAGTGTGGGACAGACCACATCCTAAGTCAACGCCGAGGGCTGGGGTTTCCTATTTTGATCTGTTGCTAAACCAGCATTTGCAGCAGGACCACAATCCTGAGAGAGGGCGGAGGTCAAGTGCAAGGTCAGGCCGCTCCAGGCACAGCACCAGCCGCTCAGCCGGTGCGAGACTGGCCGGGGCTCCTTGAGCAAGACTGACTGCAAGCTCCATCTGCACAGACACTTTCTTGGCTCCCAGAACTGCTCTGGAACAGAAACTGTTCATTTCGGCTCCATTTGGAGCTGCAGGGCTCTGCCTTCTGAGACATCAGGAGGGTCACTGGGTCAGCCAAGTGACCCGCAGCAGAGAGGGAAGCAAGGAGACTCCCCCCCGGGGTAGGGTGGCAGAGGGTGGCCTGCTTTTCCTGGACACAGTCAGGGGACAGAGGAGCCAGAGGCTGCAGGAGTCACTCCTTCCTGCAGCAGCCAGCTGTCCCTCCTTCCCTAACACACACACACACACACACACACACAACCTGTTATGCTCACTTCTGATGACAGGGCTTAAAGCTCCCTTCTTTCACTCATAACTTTGCAGGTTATACATAACTTTTCCTGAAAAGACTGTCTGACCTTCACTGGGTGAAGCCACCACCTTCTTAGCAGGGAATCAGGGGGACTAAACAGTGGATGGAGGCTTTTTACCTGCTTGGCCAGTTAGAAATGTAAATTTTTGGTGTCTACATCTATCAAAATTCATCACATTATACATCTGAAGTATGTGTAGCTTCCTATACAGGAATCATACCACAATAAAGGTGTTTAAAAAAAAGAAATGCAAATTTCTCTGATAAACAATGTCAGCAGGTTCATTCCTTTCCCTCTGTGTTAAAAAAAAAAAAACAATCTGTGAAGAATTTGAAACCCTTCAGAGGAGATTAATAAGAGCTATTTTCAAGAACACAACAGAGGCAAATTTCTTTCCAGCAGGGAGGTCACACTTTGCACAAAGGGTTTGCCCAGAAGAGGGGACCGTGTGTGCACCGTGTATGTTTTCAGGGAGCTGCTGTGATCTGAATGTTTGTGTCCACCCCTCACCAGATTCATATGTTGAAACCTAACCCCCAAGGTGATACAACAGGAGGTGGGGTCTGTGGGAGGGGATTAGGTCACTAAGGGGGGACCCCCATGAACGAGATTAGTGTCCTTACAAAAGAGACCCAGAGAGACCCCTGATCCCTTCTACCACGAGAGGACATGGCCAGACGTCTGTGACCAGGAAGGGGGCTCCCACCGGAGCCCAGTCATGCTTGCTGCCACCCTGAACTCAGACTTCCAGCCCCCAGGACTGGGAGAGATACATTTCTGTTCTTTAGAAGCTGTCCAGTCTGTGGTATTTGGTTATAGCAGCCTGAATGCACTCAGACAAGAGTCTTCCCATGAGAATATTGAGTAATTTTCCTCTGTAAATTCACTTAAGCGGTTCTCTAAAGAAGGTTATAATAAATCTAAAGTGCAAAAAAAAAAAAAAAGACTGACTCCTGGGGTCTCAGAGAGGCAATCCTGGCCATCTCCCTGTGTTGAGCAGAAACTGTGTCCACCAACAACAGAAAATCTGCCTTGCCTTTGAAGCTCCCCAGAAAGGCTGCTCCAGCCCCCATCATCTTTGTGTTCTGTGTGCATCTCACCTGAGGGTCTCCTTCCAGAAGACACTGGAGAAACCTTACCCACCTGGCCCCTATCCTCACTGTCACCCCAACACACACACACACCATACACACACACACGTCTGACCAGACCACAGCTTCCGGCTCTAACAAGATGTCATCGTTGGCCCATCGGACCCCAGAACAGGCCAAGCGTCTCCAGTCTCAGAATCCAGCTGATGGAGGTACAACATCACGCATTTAGGAATCCAGACACTAAAAGTATCAGAAGTGATGGCTGGGACACCCTGTCCTCCCACGTTCACGTGGCTGTCACTCTCCATGATGTCTCAAGGAGCCGATGGTCCTACAGGCCAGAGAGGGCTCCCTGTGGACGATACTTATCACATCCTTTGCTGTGCAGAGGTGTAAACAGTGACCCCAAATCATTGCTCTTTCTTTCCCAGTAGGGACTTGTGTCCCAGCTACAGCACTGCCATCCACAGTCCAACTGCCCAAATCCCATGTGCCCCCGTAGCTGCATTCAAGCCTCACCAAGTCCCCATTTTTTGTGACATTCTCAATAACCACTGAGAAGCATTCTCCAGTCCTCCAGCGCCTCCCTCTAGAAGCAGAATTGCCTGCCGGCCATCACACCGGGCTCCAATCAACAGCTGGAGGTCCACAACCACGTGCGCACCCCTCCTCTGCACCCTGGCCCTCTTCCTATGCTCCACCTGCCTCACGAACCCCCTCACATCCTCCAAGTCCCAGCTCAACCACCACCGAATCTTCCAGAATCCTTTCGTGATATTACATTCACCCAGGCATGACCTCCACCCTCCAGGTATCTGCCATGGCACCTGTGACGTGTCCTCGGGCTGCTGTAAGTGACTGTGTCCCACTACTAGACTAGAAGCCATCTGAGGACAGGGACCAGGTCTCCAATGTCTTTGTCACCCCAGCGTCTAATGATTCCTGACCCACAGTAGTTGCTCCATGAATGACTGTTGCGTGGAGAAATGTATAAATGACACCAGCAATTCTAAGCCAGCCCATGCCTCATTAGATGGCGACTCTCTGCAGTCCTTGCCCAGGACCAACGGTTTCCCTAAGTTAAGAGGAAAGCATCTCAGGGGGCTGGAGCAAGTTTTTTTCCACCGCACCCCTAGACGGTCAGGGCGGCCAGGACATAGGAGATGACAGGCTGGACCTGAGCCCTGAGGGGGCTGCTGGCCACAGCAGGCTGCCTGGCCTGGCCATGCTCTCGGACGGCTGTGTGTCATCGGCTAACTAGGCTCAGATAAAGCTCTGGTCTGTGGATGCACCACCTCTTTCTGCCGCATCGTAAACAAGCCCAGGATCCCTCCGTGGTGGGTGCCAGTCACCAGGCAACAAAAATCAGAGGCAGGGCCGTGGTGTGGCTGGTGGGCACGTCTACCTGAGGACTACACTGGCCTGAGATGGCGGCATGGGAGCCACAGCAGAAAGAAGGGCCCCTCTGACCAGCACCTTCCTGCCTGGCTCTGTCACAAGTCCGTCATTTCCTTGGCAGCTGGAGTTGTAGTGGACACAGGAGTACCCTGAGTGAACTCTCTAAGCTCAAGGAAAAGAAGACACATCCATTCCTGTCGCTCACATCAGAGTGGTCTTTTGAACGTGAATCTGACCACATTACTCTTCTGCTCCAAATTTCTCAGTGGCTTCTTTTGGGAAAAATTAGGACCACCTTTGAAAGGCTTGGGAGATTGTTATGATCCGCCCTTGTCTGCCTGTCCGAACTCACACTCTCCTTGTATAAAAACCTCAGCAACCAGGAACAACTTGCCTGAACACACCAGGCCCGCACACACCTCTGCTCTGGCAAACGCCGCGCCCGCCGCTTAGGTCTTCCTTCTGCCTCTTCTGGGCCCAGCGGAAGCCCGGATGCGGCATCCTTCAGTCTCAGACCCGGGGCCCTCTCCTCCTGGCTGCCTCCGCTACTCCTGCAGCAAAGTCGGAAGCACCTTTCCAGCTTCGCTGTATCTGGAGGCGGACAGTTCTTCCAGTCTTGGTCCTTACTAGCTTCAGTTTCCTTACCTGTAAAATGGGGTTAATAATTGAACTTAGAGTATAGGCGGAAGGACTGATGCCCAGAAGCATGATGAGTGGTCAGGGAAGTGAGCCAGGGAAAGAAATGAGGGCAATACGGGTGCATTCCTGTGCAGGTTACCCATGCGGGTCACTGGGGTTACTGGGAGCCTCTGGGAGCAAGAGTGTAGCGTGTAGAACAGTCCGGCCCGAGTGGGCAGGAAGCTCCTGCTAACAGGCTCTTCACCCTCCAATATTCTGCCCACGCAGCGCTGATTCTTCACCACCAACAGGCAGCTTGGGAACTTAAACTGATACCGTTGTTATTAAGACCACAAAGCAGTGGCCTCCACTCCTGCCCACACGCTGCGAGCCACCCAGCATCTGCGCCGACACTTCCCAGAGTTGGGTCCCTGCGCACCTCCCCGGGCCCAGGCCACGGCACCACGCTCACCTTCTGCAGAAATGCCATCCTCGGCCTGTACTGCTGGCCTTGGTGTCGGATTGTCATCTTGGACCCTGGATGAATTCAGACCCAGAACACAGACGGGAGAGAAAGGAAAAGCTCCGGAAAGAGAGGGACAGAGAGAGCGAGCCGGCGTGGCCCGCACTGGCACTGGCGCTGGCGTCCCCGGGGGGCGGCGGGGCGGGAGG